GAAACTGGTCTTCAAAGCCCAAGAGGATGTAGAGTGAAGAGATGCAGATAGCCCTGGCTTGCCCAGTAAGAGAAATGGGCAGGAGCCGAGAGGTGTCAGCAGAAGTGCCAACAACAAGCCACCAGGGAAGGAGCCAGAAGACGAGACTGTGTGGGGTCACGGAGGGCAGGGAAAACAAACCAGAGAGGAGGAGTCGCCTGCCCTGCTGGGTCTGTGGAGAGCACAAGGGAGGCATAGACTGAGCCAACAGGAGGCCATGGGTGACTTGGTGAGCAAGGAGGATAAAAGCCTGTTTAGTCGAGTCCAAGACAGAATGGCCAAAAAGGAGAGTAGGACTAGAAGTGTTGAGAGCTCTGCCATAAAAGGGAGAAGTTGGGTAGTAGCTGGTAGGGGCATGGAATAGAACTGACTTTGTTTCATTTCTTAAGTTGGGAGGAATAGCAGCTTGTTTGTATGCAGTTAGGAAGTTTGAAGTAGGTAGTAACTAATAAAGTCATGCAGTGTTCACTCTGGGCCAGACACAGGCTGAGCACTGGCACATGTTTCAGTTCACTCAAGGGTGATGCAGCAGGAGAGTGGCTGGGGTGGGGCACCGCCAGGACTGGAACACTGCCGCCCTAGAAGGTGGGGTGTGGGCCCACAGGAGGCACTGCAGGAGGTGGGGGGAGGGCTCAGAGAGCAGGAAGCAGGGCAGTCAGGACAGGACAAGACAGGAGAGGGGATGTGGTCATCTTGGGGTGCCGGGGAGCGAGGACAGCAGCGCTTCAGCATGGTTGCCAGGCAGCGTCCCTTAGGTTGGAGAACATGAGAAAGCTGCTATTTTGATCTGTCTGTTCCCACCTGATGCTAGACCAGCTGAATGGAAAGCTGCTCATTACTGGCTCTCAGTTTGTCCCAGCCTCTGGCTCCCAATGACTCTTCTGTCACTGCCTCTACTCCTGGCATTCTCCCAGGGCCAGACTTTCCTGGTGGCCCTCAGAAGATTAGGACTAAACAAATGAGATAAATTAAAACTAGATCCGAGCAAGCCAGGCTGTTTGAGGACCTGATGTAGGAGACAGCCTTTACTGCAGTTTTTAGGCTTCCTGAGCTCACTGGGCTATAGTGAGCACTTCCTTGCAGAGGAACTGTCCTCGGCCCTGGTTCCAGTTTGTAGCTGCTGTACTGTGTGACTTTTCTTGTAGCACTTCAGAAACTGATCTGGTATTCCTTAAAATCTCCTTTAGTTTCCCAGGGTGTTAACAGAAAATGGTTAGGGGACCATTTGTCTGGTTTCTTTTTTCAAAACAAAGTGTTAGTCATGGAATATTTGATTAGCACCAGTTTATTCCTTTCTTCCCAATTCCAGGGCCCTCTGCTCTTCCTGCTGGGTTGTTATGGATGCCTCTTACTCACTCAGGCCCAGATGTCAGCGTTTGTTGATACTTTGCCTCTGGTATCTGTTCTACTCAGGACAGTTTTACATCTCAGCCCTTCTCTTTCTGATCCCTTGCCACCACCCAAACCCTGCTGTTGCCACTTCCTCAACAAAAACCTACTGAGCTCCTCCCTACTACGTTGTACTAGAGAGTGCAGAGGTGAAGGAGTCCCTCACCTGACCCTCCCCTCAGTTCCCCCAACACAGTGTGGCCATGTTTATCTTCACTAGCTCAGCCTTTCTATTGGCCTAGCACTGAGGCCCACTGACTCGTCCTTCCGCCTGTCCTGCTGATCTCAGTCCTGACTGTGTGGCCTTGGCAAGTTATGCACCTTCTCTGAGCCTCAGCTGCTTCATGTGTAAAGTGGGAATACAGTAGTACCTGCCTCATCAAGTTTTGAGAGTTAGGTAGGTAAATGTACACGAAAGTACCAAACCAGTGGTTAGTGTCAGTGCACGGAAAGTGTTAATAAGGCTGGCCTTTGTCTTGTGGTATATAAACATGCATAAACCTGTAGGTGCAGCTCTAATACAGTACTGGGAGCAGTGTCTACATTGCATTCAGTTCTGCAGCCTAGACACTAGAGTTTAACTTCAGAATGCATATTGGGCAGATGAGTCTTACAATGTGTAGCTAGAGTCCGATGTATATTTGGAAATTAATCTGTTAATTTAGTATTCATAGAGCAAAAGTAAGGTTGTAGTGTTGAGCTTCTGCCCGTACCTTTTCGATATCTTTACCACAATGTAAAACGCTTGTCATTCTTTCATCTCGCCTCAGGAAGTGTCTAATTGTACATTAGATTAATAGGCAGAAAAGTATCAGTGATATTTTGTGATTTTGAACCTGTCTTTTCTTGATATACTCATCAACTAAATAAAAATACATTCTTCTTTAAATTTCTGAACCAGTGAATAGATTTTAATACCCAATTTTTTCCTTTCTCCATGAAGGAAATTGGCTAATCCAGACTGAGTCTAATATATAGATAAATTGGGATCTGTAATAAAATTTCTTGAGTACATAATAAAGGAAATGAAAGCAAACTTTGATGAATGTACATATGTATGCCCTATGAGGAAATATTTTATGGAATTATTTGCCAGATACTTGACTTTTCCAGAAGAGTAATAATTTTGTGATTGTGATAGCTCAATTTGAGGCTGCATCCTCAGCAACCTTTCATTACTTTTGGTGACTGTCAGGTGGCCATTATACATATCGTAGGAATTCAAGAGTCAGAACCGTCTGTGTGCTCGGGACCCGTTTCCTCCGAGTGAGGCCGTCCCTCCGCCATTGTCTGAAGCCCAGGCCCCAAACACGGTCCCCTCGCTCTGCCCTGCCTGCCCTTCGTGGCTGGATGTGCAGTCGTGCAGACCAGACTCCCTGGGCTTCTTGTTTGCCTCCACCCCCAGCCAGCCCACGGTACCTACTAAATGTTTCCTATATCTGTCACACACGCATGTGCACACACACACGCACACACACGCACCCAGGACACTGCCAGGGCTCCGGCTCTCTTCATTCTTCGTCTCTTCCTGAACTCTGGCAGTGGTCTCTTAACCAGCGGAGAGCACCAGGGCCTAGTCTCATCTGCCTCCAGCCACTGACCTCAGAGGAGCCGTGTGAATGCAGCTCCTCTGTTGTAATCAGTCCTCAGCAGCTGTTCCCAGTGATGAGCACAGGGGCCCTGTTCCAGCTGAGAGTGGAGGATCATGCTTATATTATCACTGTGTTTATAGAAAGCCTATTGATATTGGGAAACAACTATCACAGTCAGAAACAATTTTAAATAAGTATGCACTTGGGCCGGGGATTTAGCTCAGTGGTTTCGTCGCCTGCTGCGCAAGCGCAAGGACCCGAGTTTAATCCCCGGTACCAAAAACCAAAAAGAAATAAGTATGTACGTTTTCATCACAATACCATCCACATTTATTTGAAAAATAGCGCAGGCACATGGTAGACACATTCCGTGTGGAGACACTAACCACGAGCGTGTGGTGCCGCCCCTTTGAAGCAACCCAGGCAGCCCCGAGGTGCATCTCAGGGATGCTTGCTTTACGTGGGACCAGCCTGTTTGCTCCTATTCCTGGCCTGCCATGGGCTGGAGCTGACGTGGCTGTGCTGCCCACTCCCTGCTGGTGGGGAATTTGTAGCTGGTCTTTGCTGCTGCCCTCCGTGCTGAGTTCCTGCACCTCAGCCTGCCGGTACCACCCCGAAGGAGCTGTCCACTGTCCCCTTGTACGTTACTGCCATTCACCACAGCTCCTTGTGGCCCTCTTTCTGTGTCACCCCTGTAGTTCAGTACCCTCTGTGCAGGTCAGTGTAAGCCTCGTTCAACTCTGCGCTTTGCCCCTGGCCCATTCCCTGACATTTGGAGACTCAGCCCATATGTCTGTGTCAGTATGAAAGTGAGTGAGGGGATGAATAGTGAGGAGTCAGTCAGACTAAGTCTTCAGCTAGTTTCAAACACCATTTGAGGTGTCAGGAAAGCAGACTTGAACCAAACTCCCTGCTTTCATGAAGCTTCATTCTACTGGGAAGAGACAGACATAATTATTTAATATTTCAGGGAATAATGAATGCAATTTTAAACAAGTAGAGGTAACAGATAATGGCAGAATAGCAGTAGAATTGGGTGGGGTCCCCAGACTCCATATCACAAAGCAGAGAAGGGCAGCTTTGAGCTGAGAGACAGTCATCTAATGACCAGCACAGGTATAAAAAATACGCACCATGCAGATGCTACAGGAAGCCCACAGGGTGGTCAGGGGGGCCAGGCCCGAGGAGGCCACCGTAGCTGCCTGGGGTCAGCAGGATGGCCATTGTGACCAGAGTGAAACAGACATGGGAGCCAGTGCGGGAAATGGGGCCACAGTGGTACGGGGCGGTGAGACCCAGTACCTCAGTGAGACTCACTGGCTAGTGGGGCTGATGGGTAAAACACATTATCTAGGATCCCTTGTGGTTTAGACTTTCAGCTGTAAAATCCAGAGTGTTGAATTAGGCTAGTAGCATCACCATTACTAATTATGCTACCACACTCACCTAGGTCTTAGGAAGATGAACAAGGTAAAGAGCTTCCAGATTTTGAGCTTCAAGGCGCAGTATTAAAAAATGAACATCCTTAGCACAGTAATTTTAGGTTTAACTGAACAAGGGAAATGCAATTTGTTTCGAAAAGCTCTTTTATTGTGAGTTTTGAAGACTACTTGTCGACATCAAAAGATAACAGCCCAAACCAGCTTCTCACGTTTATTTCCAGAGTCCCAGATTGTATCCCTGCATGATTTTCCAGACACCACGCAGGTGAGCTGGCAGTGTAGACGTAACTCGGTCACTGTGTCGTGAAACCCCCAGAGCTGCCCTGCAGGTCCAGCTCTGCCTCCTCTCCCCGGGCCTGCCTTCGTGGTCGACTCCAGGGGTTTCCACTTCTGTGTGCCACCCTCTGGATGGTTCCTCCTCCTCCTCCAGTCTTTGGCTTCCCTGTCGCCTGGTCAGAGAAGCCTTTCCTCCCTCCACAGCCCAGGGGAGTTGTTGTTTACTGGTGCCCTCTCATTTTCTTCTTCTCTCTTTTTTTAGCCATATCATGTCTGAATACGGGAGGATGACAGACACAGAGCGAGACCAGATTGACCAGGATGCTCAGATATTCATGAGGACCTGTTCAGAAGCAATTCAGCAACTCAGAACAGAAGGTAAAGTACTCTGAAGACACAGACAGACAGCCATGAATATGTCAGGTAGTTACGAAAGATTCATATGGCACCAGCACTTACAACTCCCTTCTCGGTTCTGACTGAGAGTTAGGGTTGAAAACTTTAAAATCCAGCTGGGCGTGGTGGCACATGCCTGTACCCAGCACACGAGGAAAGTGAGGCAGGAGGATCGCAGGTTGGGGAAATGCAGCCACTCAGCGAGACCCTGTCTCAAAATAAAAAGTGAAAAGGGGCTGGGGACTAGCTCAGTGCAAAGGCCTGGGTTCAACCCCCAGGATCAGAAGGATAGAAAAGAACCCACGTTAAATTCTTCCTTTCCTGATCTGCTGTAACCTAACCTGTTGAAGGTCATGAGAAGACTGTCATTCAAGGTAAGCATCTGAGAGGAGCGAGATGGGAGGGACCTCTGCAGAGGGACCAGAAATGTACCAGGGCCGGGCTCAGAGAACATGTTCAGGGGGACAGGGCTGATGACACGTGGGTAAGGGTGGAGGGCGATCATGTGAGTTCTGCTGGTCTCATTAACATAAACGTAGGTATGGCACCCTCGTGGCTAGGAGGGGATTCTCACCCTGGCTGCTGAGCAGTGCGCCTGTCTCTGCCACCTTCTGCCTGGGTAGCCTGGCATCATCTCCCGGGCCTCTGTCTGTTCATCTTGAAAAGGCAGGTCATTACAGGGTCTGTCTTCTCACAGGTGTTGTGAGAACTAAGCTATACCCTTACAGCATTCCTAGAACCATGCACGGCACCAGGAGGGCTCTCATTGTCTTGCTTTCCCTTGGGTTTACTCCCCATCGAGGCCTGGGATGGCTCCCCAGGTCCCGTCTCTTCCTCTGTGCCTTGTTGATGCTCTCAGGCAGATAGATCGCATTACTAGCAGAATTCCAATTGCCAGATGCAGTTGGACAGACTTTTGTTGGGGACACTTCCATGAGAGCTTTGGTGGGCCACTCATGAGTGTGATGAAAGCTACTGAAATTTTTGTCAGAAAAACATGCATATACGGAGACTGTGCCATTTCGTGAGGTCGTCTTAGCAGACTTCTGTACGGAAATTCATGCAGGAAAGGCATCCTTCTGGCTAGGAGTCAGGGATGGCCGCTGGAGAGGGAGAGTGTGACTTGGAGTCTAAGGGACCCTGGGAATGTGAGTAGCCAGTGGGTAGGACAGGGCACACCTAGGCCAGGGACTGTGTGGTCGGGCTGGATTTAAACCCGTTACTTGAAGGTCAGCGTGTGCATTGGTGACTACTATTCCCCCAGGGCCAGCACTCAAGCAATTACTGTCCCTGGGTGCTGAAAAAACATAAATTAGGTGGCTATGGTTTTCCTGTGGGCTTAGTCTTCCACTCTGGTAAAGCCTAATAAATCTTACTCTTAAAAATGCACTCTCCCTTGACACGAGACTTGTTTTACAACCGTGTTTTAAGAAATACTCTCCATAAAGTAACCCCCTCGAGGCAAGTGGTGAGCTGTCTCCGGGACCGTTAACCCAGAGCCCTGAATGCTGTCCTTTTCTCTTTCAGCCCACAAGGAGATACATTCCCAGCAAGTGAAGGAGCACAGGACCGCTGTTCTGGATTTCACTGAAGATTACTTAAAAAGTATTGCATTTTCTCTTAAGGGTTAAATATGGCATGTCACAGTAGATGTGGCTCAGCATGTGGTTCTGCTAGCTGAAGGCTATTGTGTGTCATATGATGACTCCTTCGCCCAGGAAGCCGTGTTACATGGGCCCTGTCTGGTGTTCTCCCTGCAGGAGTGTGCAAGCTTTACTCAGAGCAGAGAGCCATCCGGGTGAAGCGCCTGGTGGACAAGAAGCGCCTGTGAGTACCTTGGTTAGCAGCTCCAGGGCGGAGGGCACTTCCTGTGCCCTGTGCTGGGCTGGGCTTCCTCCCCACTGAGCGCAGCCAGTGCTTACTGGGTGCACCATGCAGCACTCTGGGCTCAGGGCCAGGATGCGGAGGCCCAGCAGATGTGGTCGCTCGCCCGTGGTCCCACTGTCAAGGGGCCTCTGAGCTGAGCCCCAGCCAGGCTGTTGCTTCCACACTTGTCTCTTGCCCACGTGGTTCCTCCACTGACCCGTGAGGCGGGCCGCTGGTAGCCATTTCACCCTGGTCTCCGCCCCACGCCTCCTCCTCACCCCTGAAGGGCTGGCTGTAAGCAAGAGCTCAGGCGTCATGGCCCGTGCTCCCCCACGAGACCCTCCCTGGGTCACCAGAGGCCTAACAGAGTGCTCGAGAGGTGCCCTGCTCTCAGCACGGAGCCTCTGCAGCACCCGTCTCCTGCAGGCTCCATTCTGAGCACCACACAGCCGCGGTGACTGAAGCTCCTCGGGTGAAGCCGCAGGCTCGGTGACTTGTCCACAGCCACACTGCCGGGGCAGCGGAGCCAGGCACCCGTGCGTCTCTCCCGGCAACTGGTCTGCGTGTCTGGGCCTTAGGTGACCAGGCACGGGCTCCCCGGGGCCGCATCCCACCGGAAGTGCAGAGCACACACTCATGACAGGGTGTGGGCGTTGCCCTTTGGGGACACTCATCAGTGACTCATACCCAAGGATTTACTGGGAACTGGCCACATGGGCGCCTTCTGCCTGGCACATATAAAAGGCTAGGCTCCCAGAGGAAAGTAGGTATTCGGTGCTGAACCAGCTTCCAACCACATGGCATGCACTCAGAGCTCAGGCCTGGGCAGCTGCTCCTTTGGGTTAGGGTGGAAGAGCCCCGACAGTACCCGTTCTTGGGGCCTCCCAGCCGTCTTGCACACAGGCCTTCTGAGGAAGCAGCTTGAAGGCCTTCGTGGGAGCTCTTTTCCGGATGCCTGCCAAGTGGACATGAAAATGTAAATGCCAGCAGATAGAAGCATTAGTGGCAGACAGCAAATGAGTTATCTGTCAGCCATAGTTTCTACTTCTCATGCACTGTGCTGAGAGGGTCAGAGATAAAGCCCCTGCCCTCAGGGAGCTTCGAGGCAGGCTGGGTTGCTGTAAAAACAGGATATGCAGGTTAATTAGGTCATAGTGAGTCCCGAGAGGGAAATAGTGTGATTGGGTGGAAATGCGTGTGCTAGGAGCGCAGACTCTAGCTGGAAGCCTGTGTCTGAACCCTAACTCTGCACTTACCAGCTGTGTGCTAAGCAGACTGCTTACCCTCTGTGCTTTGGCTTCCTTGCCTGCAAAATGGGAAAGCTAATAGTACCTACCCTATAAGGTTCTTGTGAGAAGGTGAGTTGACACAGGTGAAACACTTCACCTGTGAGTTAGTGAGTTAATGAATGTTTACTTATGCAAGGCACAGTGCCATATACCTGTAATCCCAGCTACTGGGGAGGCTGAGACAGGACAATAGCAAGTTCCAGGCTAGCCTGGGCAACTTTGTAAGATCCTGTCGCAAAAAAGGAAAAAAAGGGGTAGGATGTGGCTCAGTGGTAGAGCAGTTGCCTAGTATGTGGAAGGTCATGGACTCAATCCCCAATACTACCAAAGAAAAGTACTTTTCTTGGACTGTTGTCTACCATTAAGCACTTTCTATGTATCAAACAGTATGATGATTTATTTAATTCCTGCAACCACCCTATTAATACCTGTTCATATCCCACCTTATAAATGAGGGAAGGAGCTCAGCAAATTGGGTTAGCCAGCATCGCAGCTAAACTAGGTTTGAACCTGAAAGTCATGGAAGCAGAGTCCCGAGCAGTGGGTTTGTGTTGGCTGTTGAAAGAGAGCTGTCTGGGCAGGTGGGTTGGAGGGGAGGAGGCGCACAGGGTGTCCTAGCACAGTGCAGCTGGGGGGCGGGGGAGCGAAGAGGGGGTCCCTGGGCTGCAGCCTAGCAGGGAGAGAGCCAGATGCCTGCCACGTGCTCCTAGGGGAGACCAAACAGGTGCCCCAAGCAAAGTAGGAAGAGGCTTTTGCTGCTGCCACCTCAGTTCTTGGCCTGGCAGAGGTCTGGACTGAAATACAAATTGGGATCGGTCAGATGGACATTACTCTCATTTAGACAGTGAGGTGCAGCAGCACCTCCTGCCTGACAGCTGCCCCATCCTGGTTACCCTGAGCACAGGACCCTGCGGGAAGTAATGGAGCCTCCACAGAGCTGCGGGACCTCTCCTTGTGCTTGCCTTGCTTCAGGCAGAGGCATCCGCCTAAAGCTATGTGTGTCACACCCTTGCTTCCTCCATCTTACAGGGCTGAACACTGCCAGCCTTCAAGGCCAGGCGTGGGACCTCTGTCTGCCCGTCCCCACCCTGTCCGCGGTACCAGGCCCTCCTGTGACTGTTCTACGTGGCCTCGCCCTTTGTGGCTCTTGTGCTGACTTCCCACCCAGAGTGCTTTCATGTGAGCACACTTGGTTCTCTGCTTCCCACACCCTCATCCTGCTCACCTGATGAACAAATCCCTAGGCATCCCTCCGCCCCCACTGAGATTGCTTCTCTGTGAAGTCCCTCTCTATTTTCTTAGCGGTTCCCTGCCCGATGTTCAGAATCAGGCGCAGCCCATTCTCTCACAGCTGCGGCCGATGTGCTTGACATCCACTACGGAAGCCCATTGTGTAGCACAGCGCCTGTCCCCAAGAAAGCAGGTGGCGGACTTTGCACATTGTTAAGTTGGACTGGTGAGTTAGTTCTTTATTTGTATGTTATTTTGTTTTGGTTGCCAGTGGTTTTTGTTAAAAAGTCATTCTTGGCCTGGTGTGGTGGCGCACGCCCGTAATCCCAGTGTTCACAGGTAAAGGCAGGAGGATTGCAAGAGTTCCAGGCTAGCCTGAACTACATAACAAGACCCTGGCTCAAAACATAAATAGGTAAATAATAAAAAGTCATTCTTACAAAACTGATTTGAGAAATCCAGTTGCTCGTGTCTGTGTTGTTACTATCATGCTTGTTTTGGTATTGGAGAAAGAAGAAATACTTGTCAGTTAAGGAGCAGCTCGGCTGTTTAGTCTTGTTCAAATGTATTTTTATTCATTCGTGTTTGCAGTATATAATTGCATACATCATGGGGAGTTGTTTCATGGACATGACACATCTAAATTCTTTTTACTTCCCCTTCCTTGCCTTACTTTTGACAATATAGGAAGAAAAATATTTCACGCCAGGATTTCTTTTGGTAGAACAGTGATACCGTATCATAACCTATCATATTAAGGGGCCCTTATTCCAAACAGGGTGAAGATATTTTGCTCATTGAGCCAGAGATAGTCTCAGCTGACCTTTCTGTGTTTTTCCTACCCGACTATGTCTTCCTAAAATGACAGTGCTGATATTAGAAGTCACTGTTTCTCCCTCCTCTAGGCTTTTTACTTTCTGACCTGACAGTGGCATCTGTTGCAAGTTGCTGAGCTGTATGGAGAGATGCTGATAACTGTTCATCTCTTTGCTTTTTCTACTGCAGTGAGACTGTGAGTCCTTTGAAGGCAGGAACTGCTCTGTGTTTAATCTCTCTGGTTCCAGTACCTTTATCTGAGCCTACCATGAAGGAGGTGTTCAATTAATACTCCTGGCTCAGGGGCCGGGGATTTAGCTCAGTGGTTTCGCTGCCTGTTGCGCAAGCGCGAGGACCCAAGTTCAATCCCCGGTACCAAAAAAAAAAAAAAAAAAAAAAATACTCCTGGCTCATAGGGTCTGCATAGTGAACACATGCACATTGGCACAAGTAGCCCCGTCATCCCCAAAAGGTTGAAATGTATCCTCATCCTGACCATCTAAAAGTAGTAGGATTTTGGTTATGATTTAACTTGAAATAGCCATTACCTGCCCCCCTAGCTATATAACCCCCCAAATCTGAATCAGAAACATGACGATTTCTTATCAAAATTTTGCTGCATTTCACTTTCTCTCTTTTTTAAAACACTAGCCCTCTCCTCACATATAGTACCACCATACTTTCTGGGCTCTTGAGGAGTATACTCATATCCTGCCACATGTGATTCAGCTTGCATTGTAAGACCAGGGCAGACAGGCTGCTTTTTACCTCTATATCCACAGCTCTAAGCCAGGTTCCTGCACACAGCAAGAGCTCAATAAATTTCACCAATAATTGGGGTGATGGTGGTCATGATAATGATAAGGGACCTTATGCGTTGCCTGGAAAAGGAATCTGCAAACAGTGGCTTGTGGGCCAAAGGTAGACCTTGGCCTACTTTTGTACAGCCCTCAGCTAAGCATAGCTTTTATATTTTTAAACATTTGTAAAATAAAGAAGAATATGAGGCAGAGACTGTATGTGACCTATACAGTCTAGAGATACCATCTGGCCCATATAGGAAAAGCGATTTCGCCCTGGCTCAGGTCCCTGGGGTGAAGGACCTTTTTGTTGTTGCAGTGTTTTGCAGCCTGTCATGGGCTGATATGTTTTCTGCTGCACATGACACATCCACAGATTGTGCCGCAGGTAACAGGATCCTCTGATTAAGGCACAGGCCGAGGGCTCTCCATGCTTACTCTGCTTCCTTAGCTCCATCTCATAGCAGACCAGTAACAGCTTGTAGTCTGGTGCTGGTCTTCAGGCCACACTTGGAGGAACACTGGCTCCGAAAATGCCTGAGTATAGCCAGCAAATAGCTGTTGAGTGAGTGCTGAGGGTGGTGCAGATGGGGGACGGTGCAGCACTGAGCCTGAGAGGATACCTTAGCCACAAAGGTGCTTTGGAAATTGCAGTGCTATGCGGTGACTTCTCAGAGTTATTGTTCTACCCAGAGCCTTTGTTGGGGGCATGAAGGAAATATAAGAGCAATACTTAAATCTGGTATGATAGTCACCTTCTCTAATACTTGTATGGTGCATATTTGAGGTTTGCAAAGACCATCTCCCACATATTTTCTTGTTTCCA